GACTTCAGGTTTTTTTCCTCCTATAAATAGGTTAAAAAAAAAGAGATTTTCTAGCCGCACTTCTCTGAATGAACAACAAGGACTTTTTGAATATCAATCTCAAAGAAAAAGAACTTACTTTCTGAAGAAAAGTAGCCAATTTATCTCTAACTGCTGCCGGCCTCAAGAAAAGAAGGAACTTGCCCAGAAAAAACTGATTGCTTTTACTATTGTCAGCCTCAAGAAAAGGAGAAGCTTGCCCATAAAACTGATTGCTACCTTCAGTCTTCAAACTTGATCGACCAACTACTGTCAGCACCTTGGATCTTGGTCAAAGAATCAAGAAAAAAACTGATCGGCACCTCCAGTCTTGATCAAGAATCAATCTTGATCACTCAATTCCTGCCTGACTCTTCCTGATTACAAGAAGCACTCTCCAATCTTAGGACAGCTGCTAAAAAACTTCTTGTAACCTTCAAGAATCAGCCAAAGTAAGGATCTTTCTGAACTTCCAGCCCTAAATAATTCTCATGTGGTCGGCTGAATTAAATCCACATGAGAAAACCCTAGATCGAATGCTCTGATACCAGCTTGTAAGAAGTAGAACTGTTACTATGTGATCAGAGAAGTAATACAGGTTCGAAGAGAAGGAGAGAGAGAGAAAGAGAGAGAGAGAGAGAGAGAGAGAGAGAGAGAGAAGAAGAAGAAGAGTGAAGAGAGGAGGAGAAGAAAGAAGGGGTTCGGTGATTGATAATCTGCCGCCCCATACACTTCTTTATTTATAGCTTTAGATTCCTTATAAGAATAGGAAATAAACATAAAGTCCTAGTCCTACTAAAACAAAAATTAGAAACAATAAGACCAGCCAGCCCAACTTAAAAGAAATTAGAAACTAGGTGTGGGTATGGAACCCCACACTCATGGCTAACCAACTATTTCTTCACCGCCCATGATAGTCTCTGCATAAGTTTTTGCACCTGATTCAATTAAATTTGAGTTGCAAATTTTATTAGGCATTTCCTTCTTGTCAARCCTGCGTGCAGTTTTCCATGATAGCCTCTTCTCAGTTTGATCAACTGCCAACTGTTCATCTTCCTGAAGCGTCCCCTCTTAACACCTTTCCTCTCTCCTTCGCCCATGTAGGTAAACACCCATCACACCTCTCTTTCCAAAGTTCACATTTTGTCGCTAACCATACCTTACTCCAAAGCCCTCCATGGAGAATTTCAATCAAGCGAGGAACAGCTTCGGTTTCATTCCGACCACCGCCGCTCGGAGGTTTGTTGTATCAGTCGCCAATAGAACTCCTCCCACAACTTTAACAATTTTGTTCAAAGTTTCCACCTGCCACAGGTTAAACAAGAGACCAAGGAGTTTGATTTTAAATGCTCCATCTTCTAGCTCCCTACTATTACATGACAAAAACCAACTATCGATCAAAACAAACCCGAAATTAGTGTTAAGCAATGCGAAGTTCACCACTTTCTCGCCAACATCAAGAATGGCCCTCATTTTATCAAAAGGAAAAATGTGCACATCTCGTGATGTGAAGAAACTCCCTGATGTACCATTTTATTGTAGTCCTTATTGTATTGTTTTCTTATTTATTATTATTTTCACTTCAGCCCTGCAAGGGCCTCCTTGTAAATTCTCTAAATTGTGTTGCCCTAGAAAGGYCTCTTTGTAATTTCTGTAACTTTCACTTTCTATATAAAGGACCCTTGGGGTAGGGTCGAAGCATCCATTCTTCATCCCAGAATTTTGTATTCTGCTCTGGGTCAGTTGACATGGTATCAGAGCAGGCTGCTCTGTAATCAGCTTTTGCTTTAGGCTCTCTCTTTGATATCTCAAAGGCTACTGGCTTCTGGGTTCTTTGTCTGAAGATAGGGCTGTTCTGATCAACCCTAATCCTTGCTCTCTATTCTGAGATTTCTGTAAGAGAGGTCTTCCTGGAACTCTCTTGGAACGCCTCTGTTTGCAAAGAAACCTGATTGATTGTGTCGCCCTGGTCTGTTCTTCTAACTCAGAAGCTTTCTTCGAGATTGGTCAAGCTTTGGAGGAGTTCTGATCTTCTCTCTAAGGCGGCAGCAGTTTTCTTCTTCTTCTGGTCTTCTCTCAAGGGCAGCAGCAGTTTTCCCTTGGACTTCTGTATTCTCAGGCCTTCTCCAAACTTCGAACATTTTGTTCTTGACTACTGGTGCTTCAGATTGAAGGGTTTCAACAGACCTCTTCATTCCCTTTCAAGCTGCTTATCTGAATCCTATTGGTGGATGATTTGAACTGCACACGTCAGGTTGGTGAATCTCTCTTGCAACCCTAGTTTTCTTTATGCTGTCCTAGGGTTACTTGGTAGGGGCTGTGTTCAGTACTGAGGGCATTCAGTCCTCTCCTTTGTTCAACAGTCCTGGAACCATCAGGTTGGACTGTCAACACAACTGGTTGAAGTTGTTCTAGATAAATTTCTTGGAGGATTTTGATTCCTCTACAAGGTGGCAAATCTGTATTGAAGATATTTGACTATATTTCTCTTCCGGACCAGATTTATTGTTGTTTGTCTGAACTGCTTGCTGCAACCTTGATTGAACTATTGACTTAAACTGCTATTGACTTAAGTGAAGTGGTTAACAGCCCTGAACTTTGAATTTCAGTGCTGCTACTTTTCTTCTTGGGTTGCCTTTATTTATTCTTGACGGCTGACAAAGTAGATTTTCTCCCTGCAAAATTTGATGGAACTAACTACAATATGTGGAAGTTCTATATTGATTTCTATGTTGAGGGAAAGGGACTTGAAGGTTACTTGAATGGGACTGTTAGTAAACCTAATGAGGATGAGGCTGATAGTAAAGCCTATACACAATGGAAGCTTGACAATGGACAGTTAGTCTCATGGAATTTGAGCTCCATTGCGCCTCACATTAGTGTTCCTATGAGAAGATTAAGGACTGCCTATGAGATGTATGCCTACTTGAAAAAGGTGTATCATCAGTCCAATAAAGTACTCCGAAAAAGCAATAAAGCATCCTTTGGCATTCTTCCAGCATTCAACCACATATCTTCTCCCTGATTCCACCAGTTTCTCCTCCAAGTAAGTTTGCTTGCCTTTGGAAGCAGCTTCAGACACGAACAAAGTGAGCCATTCTACCATCTCCATACCTTCTACCATGACTGTTGCCTTCTTAGGTTCCCTTATCTTCAAGCTGAGAGAACCTTTGATCCTTATTTCTTCAAACAGAAAGTCTTTCGCCTCTATCTTCAAGATTTTCTTCCATCTCTTGGTCTCCAAAAAACCTTCCTCCATAACTTTCTTGCTTAAGAAGCACATGCTTCAACTCATGTAGCATTCACCTCACAAGATTTTCGGTGCACTAGATTCTTCTGGTGGAAGATCAACTGCAGTTGAGCGAAAAGCTCCCCTTCCATTTAGTTTCTTATAAGCAAGCAATATTAACCCTTCTCTTCATGCTGTCTACCAATGCCATAGTCGTTCTTACCAGTGTTCCTACATTCCAAGTGAATAAATGAAGTTGTGTCTCTTGGACTAACTTCTTTACCTGCCCCTGTTTAGAAGGGTGCAGGCTTGCCTATTTAGCACCACTACTGGCCATTGTTGTGGGGGACCATCCTAGTAGGTCCTTGCCCATTTGACACTACACTCAGGTTAGGGTGCAGCACATTGTTTTTAGACACCCTAACATGAGCACAAAAAGACAAACCAAGATCCATGTTCATGAGTATGGCAAAGTTTTAGTACCAGCTACCAACCTAACACAACCCTCCTTTATTTGGGCTTGGGACTGTCACTATAAGACAAGTTCACACTGGCAGAGATTTAYTTCTGACCCTATCCTTTCTCGTTTTTCCACTCATCCATCTCAGCATACACATTTAAGCCACACTCATTTTTTGGACATGTTCCTTGATTGCCYAACATTCTATTCCATCCAATATTGCTAGTCTTACTATTGTTTTATAGAATTTTCATTTATTTCATATGGGATTTCTTCTTTGAAATATTTAAGATGCAGAATCACTATCCTTTAAACACAATGTTGAGCCTTTAGGGATGGCCAAGGATTTGCAGGAGTGGGAAGGATAAAATTCTCTGGAGTACGGTGCCTTTGAAATTACAAAAAAAAAAAAAAATAGGCATATCATCGAAGGCAAAGCAAATACAAGGAGGAAATTGATAGCACATACTTGTTTTGTGGTTGCAGAGTGGTCACTTGCACATCATGAAATGAAGGACATATAAACTTTAAAGAAAAGATTTTGAGTGTAGGCTGTTGCTTTCTCTAGGTCTAGATTAATGGCTTGGAATTCTTGTTTTTTCCTGTTATTATCTTTCAGATTGTAATTGATTCAAATTTATTCCTTCCTAATGACTGTTATGAAAATTCTTCATATTTGTATTAGCTTGTTTTTTAATGAAAATTTAGTCTTATTATCAAAAAAAAGACCCCAACAGAAATTGGTCTGGAGTAGGTTGCATGTGTTTACACATATGAGGTAGGTATACAAGTGTTTATGCATATGAGGTAGGTATGCAAGTACGCATGTACTCATTACATCTTGAGAAGCCTTTCACCAAAGTTGTCTCACTCCACATAGAACTGGGTAGGTCCTAAGGTTAACTGAGGGATTTAGAACTGACAATTTTCTCTTGCTTCCAGAATTAATTGGAGGCAGATTCGCATATCAAAGATATCTATCTAACTTTATCAATAATAACATTCATCAAAAAAAAAAGTTACCAATAATGATCTTTGTTTTTTTTTCTTTTACAATCTTAGATGAATCCTTACTGATCTTGTTACTAATTAAAAAACTATACATCAACAATCTGACATCATCATATCCCAACTCCTTCTACCACTTGTGACAATGACATGAATGGAAAGAAACATGAGTATCATGAAATAAAACGAAATGAAACTTGATAGAAGCATCCTAATGAAAAATGAAAATGGGATCTAAACCTAAGAATCTCAAAGACAACGTCAAGAGAAAAGGTTAATACTTACACTCCATTTGACTGCTCTTCTGATAGTTGTGAAAATTTGTCAGTGTCCACATCATCCTATAACCAAATTATAAAAACCTTTATGAACAAGCTGTGCTTCTGATTGAGATTATTAAAACAGAAGTTAAGCGGCAAACCTTGAATGCTTCTTTTAAAGCTTTATTTACAAGCTCCTCCTCGGTATAAACTTTGAGCTCATCAACCCTATTGGAAACATGAATATCATATAGGATAATTATTAAAAGAAGAAAGCAGGAAAAAGGAAAGATTGAATACACTTTGAACACATCAACACCATGTTCTACCATATATGATATTGATAAACAATATTAAAACAATGGAAATGAAAAAATGAAAATAATGTCAAATACATTTGCATACAAACATGCAAACAATGGAACACAAACTTTTTTTTCTGTTTGACTAATGATGAGAAGGATTTTATTAATATTTAATAAAAATCATTACTCCACCCAAAGAAATTGACAAAAAACTATATATATTATCTTTTTGTTTATCAGAAATAGATAATAGATTATATTAATATGGTAGGTTTAAAAGAAGAATCTCTTTCAATCAAGGACAATGGAAAGGGGGCAACTTTTATTACCTCTTGAAAAAGACTTTCCCTACAAACTCCTCCTGCAAGGTTATCTGCTAGACCATTGGCAGATCTATATGAATAATTTTCTATTAGTAACCAAAACTTTATTGATTAATATGAAAGAATGGGTGAATGGGTTACAAATTTACAATGTTCATAATATGTGCCAAGCACCCTTTTTTTGATGGTAAAATGAAATTTCATTAAAAGAAGAAAAAATTACAGGCTCGAAGGTGATAAGGCATCACCCGCATACAAACACCAATATAGAACTGCTAGGGAACATTACTAAAAAACCATCCAAGTTACAGAGTTGAAGCCCCAAGATATCTCCTAATTTGTCACCCAGATCTTCTCTAGAAACTAGTTTAAATTCTGGAGAGACCAGAACCCAGTCTGAACTGAGTTGCTAACAGCTGCCACGATCATGCCCTGATTCCAACATTTGTCTTCAAAAACTCTTCTATTTCTTTCCTTCCATATATTCCAGCAAATTGCAAACGGGATGCAGCTCCAGAGCATCCTTGCTTTCTTACGTCCTCTTATCTTTGGACAGGAAGAAAAATTCTTGCAGTAGATACTGGCTGAAAATTTGGAAACCCAAACAAACTAGTGAAGATCTTCCACAGAAACCCAGCAACCTTGCACGAGAGGAATAGATGTACAACAGTTTCCTCTTGTTCTTTGCATAGAAAGCACATGTTAACCATGCTAAAACCCCTGGATTTCAGATGATCCACAGTCAATGTAGTGTCCATGGCCACAAGCCAACCAAATGCTCCAACCCTTGGAGGGATTGGATTTCCCCAAACACCATCTATCTGAATTGGACCTGAATCATCCTTGATAATAGCCATGTAGTATGATTTAACAGAGAACATCCCATTTGAGCATTCTTTCCACCAGAGTTCATCCCTTGTCTGAGTTGATATCTGCACTTCTAATTTTTCCAATAAATATATGCATTCCTCCACCTCTCTATCTAGCAGAGGCCTTCTAAACTTTGGACACCATATCAGCTGATCTCCCCTCCTCTCATAACATTCCTTTATAGAAACTTCAGTCCCAGAGAGCTTATACAGCCTTGGACATGGATCACACAATTTGCCTACCCCACACCAATCATCTTCCCAGAACTTTTTTTTTTTTTGATAATTGAAATGATTTTATAAATCAGCAATAAAATAGTACAAAGTCCTCATGAAAAGGTACGAGTTGCAACCTCTCCAGGCTAGTTAAGTACAAATTTCCGAATTAATAATAACTTACATAGAAGCACAAAAAAGATCTTCCCTATATACCCCCTGTTTGGCTAGAGCATCAGCCAAAGAATTAGCAGACCTACTAGCCCATTTTACCTCCACTCTCATATTGCTGGTTAACCACTTTACTTTTTTGATGAGATC